ACGGATTTTCATGAAATTTCGCCAGAACATTCCAGAGATAATGACAAACCAAAGTGTGTTGGGAAATTTTGATATTTAACACATTTTTCCCATGGCGTCCATTTACGCAACACGTCTCGCATATTTATAGCTACTCCAACTTTAGATATGGATATCTAGACAGTACCAATCAGAATATCGAAAAAGCCCGACACACTTTTGTTGATTGATGCCTTGTGAATAAGACTGTGCAGCCATTTTGCTCATACTGTGGAATCCGATACAGGATAAATTCAATAGAAGAAGCCTTGGTCGTTTCACGCCTTACTGCCTCCTGACACTTCCTAAAAGAAAGCATTTCTGAAATTGTATTTTTTTTGTCTTAAAGTACATTTATTAAGCTTTCTTATGGTATATAGTTTGTTTGGGTTTTATTGAAACTGGCGCGTGTAAAATTTTTTTTTCCCTGAAGGGCACCTGCGAAGGTGGGAAGTAACCTTAAGCCAGGATTTGAGAAGTGGGTGTGTCAAAATTTTCCACAGTGCATTGCATTGTGCAGTACAGCTGTACATACATGCACATGTACAACTCTGTAATTCTTTTAAGAGCCTACATGTACATGTACCCTCAAGGTTCATGTGTTATGGGTTAATCTGGCATCTGGGGAAGTGCTACCCACCCTAAAACAATAATTGCAGACTTACAGCAATTGAGGTGCAATTCTGTAGTTTTCAGATCTATGAGAACAAATTTATGTTTATTGGTGATGACTTCCAAATTTATTATTAACACTTTGCCCACCAGAAATTCAGCAATCCAGATGTCAACAAAATAATAATTTATTTTATATTCATAGTTTAAATCTTGTGGACTCCCATTTGGCTTTGCCTGTATCACCTGCAAATACATATGGACTTGAATGATTACATATTTGCTGCTGCTGCTCTTCACATGCAACTGTAAACCTGGCATATCAAGTGTTGCCGTATCTAATTTTCATGCATGTACAGGTAGTAAATAAACATGATATTATTGTTTTGTCAGTGTGTGAGAGAGGGCTGGAAGGACAAACTTCAAGAACAGAAAAATGAAGGTTGTGCTGTAACAGGGCACTTGGAAGTTAATAAGGTTTGTCATGAAATACAGTGTATGCCAGAAATTCAAAATAAAATGTTTCAGCTACTGCTAACACACTTCATTACTACCTCCACAACTACATGTACATGTATCGCCATCATACATGTATATCAGGGACATTACGCATGTACGATGGCGACAGCGAGGATGGCATATTAAAAAGTGTATTATATTTTCCTTTGGAATTTTGCATTTACTTAGTTCTAATTATTCAGTGTGTTTGTCCATATTAATTAACTTGCCCCTGCTGAATATGCTACAAATTACGAAAAATTAGTCGTGGTGAGTCCCATTGTCAAAAAATTGGAAAATTGGTCATTTTATGTTGTTGTTTCGCCGGGGATGGCAAAGAAATGTACCAAGAATGATAACACATGTACACAGCTCTTGTTCTGCTCATTAAACCTTCTGTTTGGTGATGTTCTTGGTTCTGTTGCCGTCGCATTTTGCATAAGGTCCCTATTGTTTGTACCTCATCTGTGCTCTAAAATACACCTTTCTTGTCTTGAGAAGATCAGTTGTCTTGATTAATATTGCTTTAATTTACTGAACCTGCAATTTAACTATTGGTTAACTTTTAATTACATTTAACACAGGTTGCAGCACAAAACTCAGTCAGGTGTTTTCTTGTTGTAGGTTGCCGGAAACTTTCACTTTGCTCCAGGAAAAAGTTTTCAACAACATCATGTCCATGGTAAGGTTAAAATTCATGTACAGGAAGTAGCGAATTGATCATTATGTAGACCATATAATTTTTGGCGTGATCTTGAAATGGGATGTTCTGATCAGTTTCAACAGAGCACAGTTCAAAAGATTAAAATTAGATACAATACTTAGTTTACTTCAAGTTACAAAATTTAAATAAAAGTTATTTGGTTATAGATTTGGATTGCGCTAAAGTGGCAGTATACACGTGTGTGAATTTAAACGTTGTATTTCACAACATCTAATCAGTCAAGATTGCATTTTTGAAACTTTTCTGTAACATGCAGTACTTGACTGCCAATTTTACGGAAATTGAATACATCTATGAGGTGAAACCCAATTGCAGTTTCTGGGGTGAAAGTGAACTTACCTGTTAACAGGGATCAAAGCATGCTCTCTTTCACTAATTATCAGCTCCTGTTGTATGCCGACTCATTGTTTTGCTCTTCACACATGACCAAAATACGAGCCTGCTCACTCACAAGTGTTTCAATGCATCATATAATCCATTATCAATAACTATACTGTCTCGTTAATAATCATTAATAATTAATACTGGCTTAAAACACTGATAGCTTTTAAATAGATCTTCATGGACTTGATAAAATAATATAAAATAACAGATAAAAGTTTTAAATATTTTAGACAAGTAAGTAAAATGAGTAAATAAATTTTTATATTAAAATTTATATTAAATAATTTGTAAATAAACAAATAAGTAAATTATATTGTGTAGTTCCAGAAAATATCCATACCCTCCCCATGGAAGGAATTTTTTCTAACACCTCCCCACCCCTCTGGAAATTCCAGTTAAGCTTCATACATTTCCTTAAATTTTGTTATCTCATAGAGCCCCCCACCCCCCCAGGAAATTCTAATCCCTTCTATGGAGGGAGTATGGATATTTTCTGGAACCCCACATTTAAATATATATAAATGAAGGTACTTGTGTACATAAATCAGTAAATATTGAATGTTTTATGAATGAATAACAAAATAACTGCATGTCAAAAACGTTTTGTCTGACTATTGTAAGCAAGAAATGTTTGACACTATCCCACACATTTTTATTTCATATGATGCTGTATGACCCCTCACAGCATCTATTGATTACATGTGGTGATCAGCTCAGTCTGAGCAGAACTCAATAAAACTTTAAATAACGTAGTTGACTTGACAGTGTTCACTTTATAAGAAACCTACATTACTGTACATACATGTACCAACTCATCAAAATATTAGGCAAATCGTTTTGACCGTTTTGTGCAAGATTTACCTGTAGAATTGAAATTGTCCCATTCCCATTTGTTTTCTCAGTTGCACTGCATGTATTAATACATGTAACAGCAGTAATAATTACGCTTGAAGCAGCAGTAATTTATGTGCTAATTAATTTAAATTAATATTTAAACACTGGCTTTAAACTTTAAAATTGCATGCCAACTGTAAGCTTGGAAATCTTGAGTATTTTATCACTTCTTATATGCTGATACCTGTCATGATGGATTTACTTGCATCACTATGTCATGCATAATTGTTTTTAAAAACCTTTTTTTGCATTGTTGTGTTTTTGACTTTTTTCCATGTCAGTGTGTCGTTGTACAGTGGTTTTCTAATGACTGCAGCCATAAATTAAACTTAAATCAATTTACACTGTATAGAATCACCACAACAACTAATCAATGTCACTAACTTATAGTTAGGACTTGAATATCTAAAATGTAAGCACTAAAACACCACATTGAATAAGACAACTTCAATACTTCTTTACAGTCAAAACCGGTGAAGTGCACCTCTCCACCCGATAGTGGAGTAAAGAATTTACAAGCAGAAATTTGATTATTCCATTTTGCTTTCCAAACTTTGACTCTTCAAGTGAGACTTGACAGAAAATCTACATTTTGATTTCAGTATTAATGTCTGGCTGAACCCTTTAGGCTGTTGATGGTGTACATCAAAAGCTATGTGCTACATGTATGTGCGCAAGTGTGCTGGTCGGCATGCATGCAGAAAATTCTCAAATTTCTTTTCACCACTGGCCATTTCAAGTACACTAACATGTCTTGCCTCTGTCTTTATGTTGAGAGTAAAACGTGGTGTGTTGTAGTCACTGATATTGGTAGCCAAAGTTGTTCAAATTGAAGGCAAGTTTATGCATGTGTGATCACGTAGAGTCAAAAATCACATGTAGACCAATCACTGCTAAGTCTTGTATTTAGTCTTCAAATAATGAACTCTTCATTTAAAGGTGGAAGTTTAAACAATTTAATCATTGTAGTCGCTTTGTTGATTTAGCCCATCATTTAATTGGCAGGAAAACCCTTTAATTTAACTGGTTTTGACTGTGAAAACTTAAACTTCTTTGCAATAAATTAATCACCTCTCTAACTGCCATTTTGCACTTTTCAGTCGCCATTCTCAAGTTAAGCTCAGGGGGAAATGTTATAAGAGTCAATAGTAAGTAAAGGAGTTAATGTCTTGTTAGCCTGAGGTGAAGGGCAAATTATCTTTTTGTGCCGTATAGCCGTTGAAAACACATGCCTGTTTGCATTGACCTTTGAACGAAGAAATATGAGAATTTGAGCAAGTTGGCTACATGTATAATCCCTTTTTCACCTTTGAACTTGCTTAATTCTCTTTGCTCTTCCACGATTGATGCAAACAGACTAATTAACTCATCCCTCTTTGGCACTCAGCACTGTAGTATAGAAGAGACTCTTTTCACAGAGCTGCAGAGTGTGTCAGAAAAGACCAGATTCTTAGTGATTGCTGGTCATTACGAAAGGCCTTCACAGCAGGTTACCTACACCTGTATAGTAAATTAAATTAAAAT